GAGGACGTGCCGTGGAGCGGTTCGCGTGGGGAATTGGGTGGCGCGGTTTCTGTCCGGACCCTTTGACGTCGTGGTTTCAGCCGCAGAAGCGCCCCTAGCGCCGAGAGGGGCTCCTCCTGCTCTAGAGGAAGGGTTGGAATAATGACATCCGTAACGAAGCATCCTGAAGATCGTCCTTAGAGAAGGAAATGTCCCATCAGTTTAATTAGAGGATGGGGTAGAGAAAAGATTGCAGAAACTTTTGGACACCCTTTTCTGCCACCTTACTTGTTCTTTAGAAAGTACCACTGTGGTTCTGCAGGGGCGAAGTGCCCAGCAAGATGCCATGAGTAACTGCGTGACAGAAGTGATTTCTGTCGTTTAACTGGCAGCTTTTGTCAGGTGCTGAATGCAGACATGTGAGGGGATGGGAGGCTTGTCTCTCTGGTGATCATCACTAATGTTTAGCTTTACTGTTTTAAGGACATGTGGAGTGTGACTCATGAGTAATCGGGTCTGTATTAGAGTTATGCTTTGTCATGTTTTTTGCCTGAAACTCCTGGTTTGAATAATGTTTTTTTTTTCTTGCCTCTGTAGGCTGGTTGGACTCCCTTACACATTGCCGCTTCAGCAGGCCGTGATGAGATTGTGAAAGCCCTCATTGCCAAGGGTGCTCATGTAAATGCTGTCAATCAGAACGGCTGTACGCCTTTGCATTATGCAGCCTCCAAAAATAAGCAGGAGGTATGTTTGCCTATGCTGCTGGATGTGGTGTTGCTCTTGGAAGAAGTATTTAGTTATATTAACATTTCTTCCTTTCCCTCCCCCCCCCTTTCTCTTTCTGCGTATTCAGATTGCAATCATGCTTTTGGAGAACGGAGCTGATCCGGATGCAGCAGATCATTTTGAATCCACACCGTTACACAGAGCAGCAGCCAAAGGAAACCTAAAAATGGTGCAGATCCTTCTGCAGCACAAGGCGTCTGTTAATATACAGGACTCTGAAGGGAATACTCCTCTGTAAGTTTTGTTTTGCTTAATATAGCATAACCTCTATGAAATGAAACCCCATTACTTCAATTTTTTTAATTTCTTATTGCTGAAATAGTCTCCCTTGCTTCACACCCCTGTGTAATTAAAAATGATCCGAGAAGATCATACATAGTATTTTGCCTAAGTGTGTCTGTACATACGTACTTTATGTTACTACATCTACTTCAGAAGTGTTGAACACCTTCTGTAATAATTTGGAATACGTTTGGTTGCCACTAGAGGGTAGAACACAAGCTAATGACATCAAAGTTGGAGGAAACTGGTCTTGCAGGCTGGCCTGCTCTGTTCTGCCAAGCAAGAACTAATTTTGGAAGCTTTTTTTCACCTCTCTAAGGAAAATAAGTTGCAATTTAAGGACAATCAATCCAGTGTTTGATGTTACCTTAGAAATGAATTTGAATCTGTAAGGGTACAACCTTAGCTGCTTTGAGGTTGGTGGCAAAACTCTTGTCTACAGTGGAATCAAGATTTTGCCGTGAATAAGATCAGGCAGTATGTTTTAGCTCTGTGTAAAACCCAGTATTGTCCTGGAACACACAGATTTATTCTCAAGATCCTATGCCAAATGGAAAATAGCGTTTGCTGCATTTGCAGTAACTCTTGACTTCAGATTATTTTTAAGTCGTACAATTTAGTTTATCCCTTTCAATTCAAATAGAGATTATTGTTTTCCAGTTTCACTGTGGATTATGTGCTCTTTAGCTTTGCTGCCTGCAAAGGCAGGTCCTAATCTAAAGAAGTGTCTTAATATTGCAAGGACAATAGCAGGAGGAACATTCTTGAGTTGGTTAATGACAGCAGAGTGACTGGACAGTAAGCTTTGGGATCTGTGTAGGTGGTTGGTTGCATGTGGTTTTGTTGTTCTAGGATGTATCTTCCCCCCACTTCGTGCTGTCATTTTGAAAGAGCATAATTATTGCTCTTTATAGGCTTGGATTGTTTAATAGGGGCTGTGGGTTTCTTGTTCTTACTACAGTCACTTAGCCTGCGATGAAGAAAGAGTGGAGGAGGCAAAGCTGCTGGTGTCTCATGGTGCAAGCATTCACGTTGAGAATAAAGAAGAACTGACCCCACTGAAAGTGGCAAAGGGTGGCCTGGGAGCCACGCTTAAAAGAATGGTGGAAGGCTAGTGGGGACTTCTGACTTGACTCTTCCCTGTTGCACTTGTGTTTAAGACTGCAAACTGCGTATTTGGATGGTTCAACTAGGACGTCTTGTGTGGGCATCAGCGTGGTAACAACACATGTATCTCTGGCTTTCCTTCAAGTACAGTGCCAGAACAACTGTTTGTACTTCCTGTTAATTAAACACTTCACTGATTTTAAAGTGTTTTTCAATATCTTGTGGCTTGCCTTCGGTTTACGGTACGATGTGTATAAATGCAGTCATGCCTTCTATGTCAGAACCTAGTTTAGAATTATTTCTTTCAAGCAACAGGACCAAAAATGCTTTAACCATTTAAAGTCGATTTTATTTTGAAAGTTTATTCTAAAGTCTTTGGTTTTTTCCCCTTAGCCTTTGTGATTTGTGTGTAGTTCTTTGGTTTTTGTGGGTACTGAGTCTCTTCCTTCAGATGATTCTGAGCTACGCCTCCCCTTTGCAGAGTGCTCCTTACTTGGATCGTTGTATCTATTTTTACTCTTCTTAGTCTATTCAAGTGAGCTCTGAGTGTTCAAAGCTTTTCTGTTGTGATCTATTGTTAGCATCTTTCTTTGAATCTCTCAATACACGTATGTGATGGAGCGCACTGGACTGCTTGCAGAACGCAGGTGCAGTTTCAGGGTTACCTCTGCGAATACACCGTTATATAATGGATGGCTCTGCGCGCTTCTCTGGGATGTGCTTGGACTCTAATTTTATTTCCTCTCGCTCCTCCTGTAGATTTCTTTTTGTGTTCTGTTTGGCTCCTATCGTGTAGCGCTGACGCTTGCAGTTTACCATCTTATTTTATAGCAGAAGCCTGGTTTAATGTCTATTTACTCATTAGCAAATCCTACTATTAAGTTATTAGAAGGCAGAGCTAATGAGACTGAGTCTGAAAAGTAACCCTCTGTTCTCTTGTTGGTAAGATCACTTTTGACACTAGTGGGATAATCTCCCCCTTCTGAACAAACGATGCTGGTGAAATTCTGTGAAATAAAGAACTTTCCTAAACAGCAGTCTTTGGTATTATAAAACTTTATTAAACTTACATGTAACAAAACCAATATTTTTTAAATAGCTTGTACGCTTGGGATGTGAACAAGAAGTCAGATGAAACCCTGCCATCCGTTACACAGCCTGAACACAGAACGTGTTTGTTCTTCAGCTGCAAGGAAAGGTTGAAATGGAAGATGACAGTCCCTATAGTTTGACTTGTAGGGATTAAGGTAATGCGATTTATTTTGATAAGCGAGACAGAAACTTACAACCCAACAAGTATCTTCACCAAGTGCTTTAAGTCTACCCTAGAAAGCAAAGTGCAGGTTACATTTCACTGAAGGTCCCTGTTGAGAGCAGGAGGGGTAACTTGCCTGTACAGTGAGCTCTGGCCATGCAGACCTTGCTTGAAGCAGGAACCCGGCTGAGTAAATGTTTCTTATATATGTGCAGGCTGAAAACTCGAATGGGGAAAAGCTGAAGTTAGAATTCTGTGTTCATCCTTGGTCTTTGTGTAGAAAAAAACCCTGCCACAGCTCCGCAGCTTTGTAAATCCACTTCCCCAGGAGCTGGTGGCTTGAATGTTGGCTTAATACCTGGTTTCCATATTCATGATCCCTGCTTCCTCAGGAGAAGATAAACGGGCCGTGCAGCAAAGGCTGTTGGAACATCTGAGGCAAATTCTGAAAAATTTTTCTGCATCCTGCATAGCTCTGCAGGCTTTCTGAGCTACACTCTCTGGATCAATACCTAATTTGGCTTCTGCTTTGCCAAGAGCATCAGTGGAAAGCTAGGAACGTTGCCCCATCCTTTTTAATAAACTATTTTACATGAGAGAAACTTCATAATGAGAACAAGCATCTGCCAGAAGTCTTAAAAAAATATCCCAATGTGTTAAGAAACTCCAAATAAATGTTATTTTCTTTACCTTCCTCCTCACCCCCCAGAAATGTGTTCTGCTTCTTAATTTTCTTTTTTTTTGTGTGTTGTTCTTTTTTTTTTAAATTCTAGTACATGCTGGCTATTATGAGAGGAATAATTAGCCTAGAACTTGTGTTCAATTATTCTTTCTTGTATTATAAAAACATTAACATAACTTGAGCAATTCCTGCTTTTTTAGCAAATCTGAGACCTGTGGTGTTCTAGAAAGATTGTATTAGCTATAAAAGGTAATGACAACTTCAGCAACATAAGCTCCTATCTTACTGTAGCAAGTTATATGAGGAATACATGCAGAGAAGTGTGTGGAGGTGAGATGAAGGAAAGATTGAAAAATTAGGATAATGACCACATAATATCTTCCCCCCTTCAATCGCTATAGTGCTGTTGCGGAGATGTGAAAGTTGGAAAGCCGTTGCAGTAAGAAAAATGTAACTAAGACACATCTATGCAGGAGATAACTTTAGAAGAACTGGTACAACTACAGCAGTGTCATGAAGAGAGTTTATAGTTTCCCATGAAGGGCAAGAGTAAAAGAATGCCTGGGAATGTCAGAGAAGAAATTATTTAAAATTAACGCCACTGTCAGCCAAGTCATGGGCTCCCTTGGACCAGTAACTGATCTGAATTACCTCACGAGGAAACACCTTTGGTAAGAAATGGCACCCAAACAGGAGTAAGAGGTACTTGCTATTCTCTTGTTACTGTGCATGCTTAATCATAGAATCATTTTTGTTGGAAAAGGCCTTTAAGATCATCAGGTCCAACCATTATCGGAACACAACCAAGCCCACCGCTAAACCATGTCCCTAAGCTCCACATCTATATGTCTTTTGAACACCCAGCACTTTGGATGTGACTATCAGAAATTTTCAGTTACCTTCTAAACCTACAGTGAAGGATGTGACTTTGCAGATTTTCTTAGTACAATTGCCCCCAGAGTCAGTAAGAGAGATGCCTGATTAAGAAGAGATTTCCATACAGGTCATGACTTGAGCTTTACCCTGGATATTTTGGGGAGAGAGGAGTGGGAGGATCCACTGGTAAAAGAGGGCAGTGTTAGTACTAGTTGGACCCTCGCAGTCAGGCACAAGCAGTTTTTCGCTACAGCAGTATTATAAGAACAGTGTAAATGCTCTGTTACTCTGGAATGAAGCTAAACTCTAGGACACGTGTATCGGAGGCAAATATTTGAAAGCCGGAAAATTCCGTAGGAAGGGCAGTGAATACAGTTGTGCTTAATGATCCAGATTGAATCTTAATTAGGATCTCCTGCCTTACATCTTTAAATGTTGCCATCTTTTTTTAATCTCCTCCCCCCCCTTTTTTTTTTGGTGGTCACTTTCTTGATGCACATACTTACAGCTGTAGGAACTGAACCTGACAATTTCCACACGGCTACATCCTTTTATCTATTTTAGAGATGACTGTGGCATATAAATAATGTTTACAGGCTAGAAAGTCACCAAAGGGTTTATGAACATTAGATCCTATAAAAGACTGAAGTGCCAAAAGTACCAGATCCCTGAGCCGGATACGTTTTTCTGCAGTGCACGAGACTGGAACCAGTATCTCCTTGTGTCAGTATCTGCCTCACAGGGAGCTGCCGAGGCTGCACGTCTGCGCTCACATGAGCCCCGTGGTCCTTGAGCTCTTCTGAAAGTAGGTGTCTTTGCCCTTTTGAAGAACTGAGTTTGCTTAACCTTCTCAGCGAGGCCCAGAGAGAAGAGGTGTCTAGTGGTCAGAACGTATGTGGTTCAGTTCCCTCTTCTCCTTCCAAGAGAGTGCTCATTACTCAGCTGTTGGCTATTGGGTGCACACACTGCCTACCTTTCTCTTGATGCTTTCACCTATAGAAAACAGTCAAAACTATACTAGGCTAAAGAGACCAGAAGAAAAATGGTGTGAGTTTGTTCCTTAATGGGTAAGGCAGTTGCCTGGAAATACATTGAAATGGTCTCAAGCAGAGGGAGCAATTGAAACTGCTGTGTTGGGGGGTAGGCAGTATTTGCTTCCAAGTTTTGAAAGCAGCTGTATCTGCATGTCATGAGGAGTCTGATACTCTGTGTGCCTATTATAGCAAGCCTTGCCAGGGATTTAGATTTCCGGCTCCTGATGTCTGGAAACCAGTCAACTGATGTCTGAACTGGGCACCTGAATGCTAGTTCCATTAAACTGAAAACCAGAACGGCTGAAACACACAACTCTGGAATGCTGGTGCCTTGGGAACTTTAAAGCCAAGAAGGTCACTGTTAACAAAATGTATTCCACATCAAGCAGCAACAGGGTAAAAGTTTCCAGGATTTTTTTTTTTTTAGCTTTAAGTGGAATTCGGACACGAGATTTCATTGATCGAGGCCTTAACATCTGTTTCTGCACTCTGATGCCATTGATGAAACTTCTTTTTACTTCCAATGTGCAAAATCAGATCCTTTAGACACTGCAGTGTTTTGGCCATGATGGTTGTTCTTGGTGCACAGGAAACATGAGGTTGGCCAACACTTTTTTCTGGAGAAGACTGCTGTGGTTCAGAACTGTATGGATACATGCAGCATTACTGATAGTTGACCGGAAAGCTCTTACTTTGTCAAATGCTTCAGCCCGTTTCCTAATTAGTTTTGCAAAATAGGTTGGATAAATATGGATGATAGTCTTTTTATACTTAGATTTATGTATAATCATAACTAGATAATAAATGAAATTTGGTTAACTTTAGAGGCCAAATCTTCTGCTATTCACAAAGTGCACGTTAACAGACCCCTTTCAGTCTCCAGCCCAGAGGTTCACAACACAAATGCCCATTTTAAGTTTTAGTCATGCTTCTATGGTAATTCAATGACAACAATTTTCATACAAAGGAGTCCAAAGCTGACAAGGAAAACTGTATTAAAACTCTAGGCTAGTTCTTCTTTTTCCGCTTCTTGCTTCTCATCATTTTCAGGTGTTGCAGAGGCTGGCATTTCATCAACCCCAGGGTGTTCATTTGTTGCATTGCTTGATGGGACTGTGGTCGCAGGGATGTTTTCTTCGTTAGGTACCTGAACATACTCTGCATTGGATTGTTTCTGAGCCATTTCTCTGCAGGAAGACAGGGTGAGGATTGTGATTTCATGTGTTGAAATCCCACCTACGCTAGAGTCTTTCAAAAGAAGGAGTCTTTGTAGTTTTGTTGTCTAAACAATAACCACCATGTTATAATGACTGTTCCAACAACATGTGAAAAGGCTACAACATCATTGCTGCTAAGACAGAACAAGTGACAGAGTGTTAGAGAGTAAGACTGATCTGCGTCACTGGTATAAGTGATCCTGTTGTAGAATAAAATGGATTTTAGTATGTTTAAATGCTAGGCCAGGAAAGCAGAATGGGAAGCCAAGTGCTGGCAGACAGTGTCTGAGGAGGGGCAGCAAAACATGCTGCTTGGTGTGAGCTTTCTGGGAAATTCCATGCAGATCTGGTGTCCCATTCAAGTGCATAAAAAATAGAGTGCAGTCAGAAAAGAGCTATGAAAAGTCTGAAATCTAGAAAAGTGTCTTTAGTAACAGGTATGAAATCTATTTATCTTATCAAAACTGTAATAAAGCACTTCCTGATATTTAAGCACTTTCATATGTAAAAAATATCAGATGCTAGTGTGTTAATTCAGTGTAGTAAGATTTATTAGTATCCCAGCACAAAAATAGATATTAATGCTACATCGATCCAAAGCAGAAATCCGGTGCCTGAGTGGCTGGCCACTGGTCTGGATTAGCAGAATTCCATCTCAGGAAGTCTCAGACCTGTGCTACTGGGAAGTGCCCAGATGACATCATATTTTTTTCTGGCCTCAGCTGCATGTGTTCATTTAGCATTTAACATCATGGGGCTAAATACAGCCTGTGTAGCCTATGAGATTATCCCTGTTCTGAAGATTTGGCAATTTAAGGGAAAAATGAGCAACCAAAGCACAGAGGAAAAAACATTTCCAGAGGAGGATCAAAATGGACATTCTGGGCTCTGTTCTGTTGCCTAAACTTTGTGTCTCCTGCCATTTGAGATGCCTTAGAGTATCCCAAGTGTGTGTCCTGTAATTTTAAATAGCACTGAACTGAGCCCTCTGTGTTTAAGTGCAGTGGCGTACAGTCCCAGTACATTTGCTGAGGCAACCCTTAGCTGCTGTTCCTTCTTTTCCTTCCTCCACCTGCCATTAACAGTCACCATTAACTTTTACATACTAAAACCTGTGTTTTTTTCCAACTTGCCACTTTCATTTTGTGTTGTTGAAAAAACATTTACTTTACTGTTTTAGATACTGCTAGGTGGTAGCTGCCTGTAAACGTAGGGAAGTGGATAATGGCAACTTCTGTAACAAGAGCAACAGCTTAAAAGTCACACAAAAGCAAATATTCACACTCTGGAAATTTTCTCAAAACCTGTATTATTTACCCCTCAAAAAAATGTTCATTTTACTTTAGTTCTGGATTTTCAGCAGTGCTTTACAAAAATAATTGTCTTAAAATGAAGCAAACGGACTCTTACTGCATCTCATTACTTGATGACGTCTTATTCTTTGCCTTCTTGGTTAAGACCCAGACGATAATGCAAATGATAGCAGCTACCAGAACTGCTCCAATTAATGCTCCAGCAACGATACCACTGTCTGAATCTGGAAAGAAAAAAAAGATAACTTGACTTTTTAAAAAGTAGTATTATAGCAAAATCCCATGGAAATTCAGTGCAGGAGCCTTTAGCAGAAAGAAGGCATTGGATTCAAAAAGTAAAAACCTGACTGACAGCTGTATTTGCAGGAGGGAGGCCAAAGATTCTCTAGGAAAGAGAGAACTCTGCTTTTATGACCTTTGCTGCCTCCTTTCTTTTTGGTTAGCTCCCTACCCAACAAAGCCTTTGTTCATGCTGGCCAAGGGAAACATTAGGCTGTTAACACTGGCAATAGTTGAAAGCCTTTGCTCGTCAGTCTTTGCAAACAAATTCTGAAATTCAGGTTGCCTTTATCTCTGTCTTTCAGCTGAGATGTAACATGTATGCTCTGATCATTTGTGAGCCCCCCAAACCTGCTTCTGCTTCAGTACAGCTTCTAGCTCTGACCTGCAATTTCCATTTTATAGATCACTAAGTGACGGAGTGACCGTTTCAGGGGCATCTCTCGTGGCTGGTTGTACAACCTATGCTTGGCTCTTGTTAAAAGTTACTGGTTATGTGAAAAATCTGCATGCAGAGGTGGTTGACCACTGCTTGAGAACAGTCAGGATAAGATTGATCACTGCTTGGGGGCAGTCAGGATAAGGTATTTTTCTGTTATTTCAGTATTTTCAGCTAACGGTCACATCTACAGTGCCCCAGTCCTTGTACTACCACATTTCGGTGATGGTTGTAAATTCTGGGGTGGGGGGACCTCAGTGGGACTGTTGGCTGGAAGAAATTGCTCTGAACTCCACGTTTGTTGGTTCTCAGTAGAGGCTCTGCAGCCAGAGCCACATTCAGCTCCTGCTCCCAGTGGGAGACGAAGCTGGAGATGTTAAATGAGTTGTCTAGGTCAGTGTAAAAATTCTGGGCATGCCTGGATGAAAACTCTGGAGCTCTCCAAAGCCCATTCTGTTCTTGCTTCAAAAAAAAAAAAAAAATTATGCTTTAAAGCTGTTGCAGCATTTTCCTGCAAACTGTGCATGTCATACACCAAATATGTGATTACTTTCATGCATTAAACTTACGCTTTGCAGTTAGGTCAAGCTCGCAGGTGCTGTTCCCCAGGATGTTTTTGGCTATGCACCGGTAATACCCGGTTTCAAAGGTGGTGAGATTGCCGATGTAAAGAATGCCAGTGTTTGGATCTGTGACAAACAGAGAGCAGGTACAGGTTACCCTTGCACACTGGAGAGGCAAATCGTTTTCTTTAGTTGGTAATACTGAGAGCTACTAAGAGATTAGAAGCAGGGTTCCCCAATTATTTATGCTTTCGGAGTATTTTATATTCTTTAAATAAAAAACATTTACCTTCCCTGAAAACTACTGCAGTGGATTCTGCAGGAGAGTATTAGAGCGTGAGAAGTAGCTCCCTACTCTGCAGATCAGTCTGATGTTTTACCCGCGTTGATGTTATTGTTGTCCGTGTAACTTCACACATGGAAATGTAACAAGTACTGAAGATTTTCAGGACGGAGGCCTTAACACCCGAATGACAAATTGACTTAACTTATTCTAAGTTCACTCAAAATTCCAAGGGAAGGGAGATGTAGAGGCACAAGCTTTTCTCCCATTTCAAAAATTTAAAGTAATGGTATAGACAAGACATTAACATGCCACACAATTTTAATTAAACCAAATAGAAAAAACACCTTCTGTGTGACAGTCGACAGCTATCAGTCAATTTGAATAAGTAAAAATACAATTTTGTGAGAGGGACCGTCAGAAGAGGAGAATGTTTTAACTACCCTATGTGAAACACAGTGTTTGAACTGGTCGGTACTATGGAATTCCAGATCTTGAACACGGTATGGTAGCCCTGTGGTTACGTACTAAATTGTTCAGTCACAGGCTTGAGGGTGTTCTCGTCTACTTTGTACCAGTGGTAGGTAGGGTGAGGCAATCCTTCTTCACACTTGCATAAGAGGTAGATTAGATGGCCTTTTTCAGGCGTTCCTTCGATTTTGCAGAAAGGTTTTGACGGTTTGACTGTAAAATAGCAACGAGAACAGACACATGGTGAGTACATACCCGGGGCTGCAAGCACCGCCTCCAGTACTGTGCTGCTGTCAGTAAAGAGTCGAACCCCAGCTACAGATTTCCGTCCGAAAGCAGCGTCTTGTTTATGGGTCTGACCAAAGGCTCTCCCGTAAAGATTTGAGTAATATTAAATATATGTCCATGGCCTAGGATACATTTTTCTATCTTTTTTTTTCCCATTTGCATACTAAATATTATTATGGAGTTGTTGAGATGAAGACTATCAATTACTTTAATTATAATGGGCCAATCACTATTTGTCATAGACCGTGCTGCCACATAGCAGCATCATTTTCTGTAGGGACACAGCAGGAGCTTTTCCACATAAAGGGAAAAGGTCAAGGCCTGATTCTTCAATGTATTGCAGAGGAAATAAATTAACTAGAGTTCTGTTAAAAATATATCTGTTTTGATGCACGCAGGAGAAGATTCTGCCTTCACTTACACTTATTATTTTTCATTTCCTACCTATAGATATGCTGTTGTGGTTCTTTAGAGTACCATCAGTGGAACTATACCAGCAATGAACACAGCCCAATTTTGTGTGCATAAATGAGCAAGCTTTCTTGGGTTTCATGTGAAAAGTACAATCTCTTACTCAGCTGATCCAAGATTTACTATTTGTTTGGGGAATTTTAGATGAGGATTGTCAGAAGTACTTTGATTTTTCAGGGACTGAGTCTACATAAGTCTTTTTCTTATCCCTGGCAGACAGGCAAGTGATGTTGGAATCGCGTTCTCATATGACTTTGATTTGTCACTCTGACCAGCTATGAATTCTCAATATAAAAGCAATGATTAGATGGAGTTAGTACAAACTTTTATCTTATTAGGAAGTAAAATACCTCATTCCACAGCTTTTCATCCTTTCTGTCCTGCCTGTTCATGGTTGAACTATTGCTTTCTTCCATCCAAAATAGACATTATACTACTTCCATCCAACACATAGTAACTTTCTAGAGTTCCTGGGACTCGGGGTGAGCCAGAACCCTTGGGCTGTACTGCTGCCTCTCCTTGGATTTATGCAAGTCACTGTGACCAGCGTTGGGTAAAATCAGTAAAATTTTAGTCTTTGCTGGGGCTGGATTATCCTAAAAGTATTGGCTTCAGAGAGAAGTTGTAACTCTCAGCGAAAAGGGGTTTTTTGTTTTAATCAAAGTTAATGTAATTTTGTTTTCCAACAGGAAAAATGTAGTGAAGTTGGGTAATTCCAGCTACCCGCTTACCTATTTACATTAGGTGGCTTTTTGAGAGCACAAAGTGAATCTGAAGGCCACGCGTGGCAGCATGAGATTCCGCTGCAGGTCAAGCGAGGGTGGCTGCAGAGTGATACCAGGTCTGCTTTGTCTGGAAGCTAGAGGGCAGCCCAGGCTCTGCCTGCCTCCAGTCCTTGGGAAAACCTCTGCGTCAGTGCACCAGTGAGCCCTTCCTCTGCACCACGGGCCTTGCTTATCACAGCTCTGTTATCCCCTCTGGTCCTACGTGCCTTGAGCCGTGAATTCCGTGTTTCATAATACGGGAAGAAAACTACAATACGGCAGTAGAGAGGAAAGGCACTTACCCAGCACATTGACAATCACAGATTTTTGACTCTGGCCAGCATCACCCAGAGGGCTGAAAACTTCGCAGGTGTAGGAACCGGTGTCTGAGGGCTGCATGTTGGAGATTGTTATTGATGCGTTCCCTGGACCTGTTGCAGCTGTTAGCCTGTTCTTAAACTCTCCATAGGAGTAAGACTGGCCTCCTGAATAATAATAGATCTATGACAAAGAATCAATTGTTAGTTTAGTACTCAGATCTTACTGCCGCTTTGTTTGGTACTCATGATTGGAATACAGTTGATTTCTGATCAAGCCAAGCAATGGCACCCCCTTTCTTGCCCCCTCCCGCGCGAAAGCAGAGGTGAAAACATGGTACATTTGAATATGTATTTCTAGTGGTTCTTAAAAGACAAGCTCTTCAGAAACGGGATTTTTTAGTTCTGTAGATGGGCGGTAGCTAGTTCTTTGTGGATACTTCAGTCACAGACTGATGCATTTGCAAAAACCAAGGCGAGACCATTGGCCATCCTGTGGCAATTCTGTGAAAAAATGCTAAGTGATGCACAACGAATAGTGGTACTAATTGAAGCACTGACAATTTGTGGTGTTATTAATAAGCGGCTCAGTAAAAGATTGTGACAAGAATGGGCCTGTCATTGCACAAAGTGGATGGCTGCAGAGCTTTCCAAATACAGACGCTAGCAAACAGAGAACTGAAATGAATCCACAAGACATAGGTCTAAGCAAACAAGGTGCCTGATCTGTTGGCAGTAAATTTGGAAGCGGTAAAAATGCAGTACGAGAACACCAGCAGAATCATCACACATGCAGTTAGAGCAGCCGTGCTGTTCTCCTCGTTTGTGTAATCAGGGTCAGACACAGTGTCATGGGCTATCTTGGGGTTTTGAGTTTATACCATAGGTGGAAGTCATGAATAACTGTTGACCTCGGTGCTTGGCGGGGCACCTATTTGGGATCAAGAAGTTCCCCTTTTACTAAACAGTAAAAAAAGTTTTACAGAATTATAGACATAGTAAGGATAAATGTCTCTAAGGAATGCAACATTTCCTCCCAAATAAAAATTGGCTGTTTAACATTGACTGATTTCACTGACTTCAGGAGCATAAACGGTACTTAACTGTTGGATTGAATTGGCCACATAAGCTTATAAGCCCAAACCTGTTGTCTGTTGACTGAAAGGAGAGGTAGAACAGGTTCATTGTGGAGCCTGGTTGTGGCTTGGGCCTTGAGTCTGTTTAGGAACTGCAGGATCTCATTACTCTGGGGTAAATATAATAGTTCTCAAGGATTACACACCCTCTGGCCAGTCTAGCTCTGCTGTGAAGTCAAGATCTGAAAGAACAAAGCTAATGTGGAAAACTATGGAACGTTAAACATTTCTCTCAGCTGTTAATGGTAGTGTTGTGTAAAAGTGATGGTATTTGGGACAGGCGGCGTGTTCCCCAGTGTCTACGTGCACAACCTCCATTGTCTAGGCAAGGTGAACAGTTCCAGCATACTCAGTCATTTTTTTAAACTGATGAGAGGTAACCATATAGAATTACAGGTTGGGACCCAAATAGATCTAACGCTGTTCTTTTTATTCTGGAATCAGCAGTGTAAACCTATTTATTGAAGCTGGACTAACAGCGTGCTCTTTAATGGGAATAGCTGGAAAGTGCTTGTAGGAAAAAGCTTCACAGACTCCTGTGAAATGCCATTCACACTTGACTAGTATCGAAATTTCCTTTTGGTCAAAGTTCCCTGCCTTTAGGGACACTCCAGATCCCCAGGCAAGAAGTATAATTTGCTTTACTTTGCAGATCAACTGATTGTATTTTGAATTAAGAATAAATATTAATATTCTTGATTCTATTTATCCACCCTGATACGGTGTTGACTGAAGTCTTTAAGCAATGTTATCTGAAAGCTTCTATTAGCTTAAGGCAAGCTACACCCCAAAACTGCCAGAGCACATCTGGTTTATGCAATGATAAGGCTTTGAAATGAAGGTCAGAACCCAGACTGCAGCGTACCAGCAGCTCCGGTACTGCAGCTTGGCCCCATCCCAAGTGCAATTTTGCCTGCTTCCCAGCCAGACTTTATCATTCCCTGCCCCAGGATTACAAACACCAGGTACAATTGATGCAGGGCTCTGAATACCAAAGCTACGCTACTGCATTGCCAACACGTGGAAAACTGGCGTTGCAGTGAGGAAGCATAAGAGGTCCCGTGTTAGTAGAGTGGCAGAGTAGCTTAGAAAGTCTGCTGGACAGCTGGAGAGACTCTCCAGTTTCCACTGTTTGCATGCAATGCCATCAGTTTTAAAACTGATTTTAGGCTTTGCAAATGTCTAGAGATGGACCTCTATTGCAAAACTAGAGTCTGGATGCCCACCCTCATGTTCCGCAAGGAAGAGAGTGTTCAAAATAGGGAGTTTGATTTAAGCAGATCGCTTATCAACAAACTGATCTGCCTGTAATTACAGAAATGTGCTGGCCATACTTGGCTCATTCTGCATTTAGCCATGTTTGAGCAACAACAGAGTGTTATACGCTGTTCCTTGTGAGAGTCTGAAGTTACAAGAACTGTGACTTCTGACTTCAGGCTCCTCTCAAGCTGACATTTCCTATATAGATCTCAGCAGTGATGGGCTGGGTTTGCATCTCCTCTCAATCAATTGCATCTGTTTGAGTGGGGTGGGGAAAGAGCTTCCGTCAGCTCTTCAGACTAGTGTGAAATTCATTTGTATAACGATTTAAATGAAGCAAAGGGTGACTTGCAGCAGCGTGAGAGGAGAAGAAGGCCATTATATCCTACTAAAAGGGCTGATTAGAGAAAAAAGGGGCTAAATTCTACTCAGTCTCCCTCAGAGTGATCTGGGACTTACGGGAGAGTAGACAGTAGCAGAAGCTGCCCACTGAGCACTAGCTTAGCTACGGCAGATGTTCCTGGGAAATAGGACTGGCACTACAGCGAGTCTGAAATGCAGTCAGGGCACTCCAGTCAACTTTAGAGAGGAGCAAGCGCTCCTCAGTATATTTGATCTGAAGTCAGGGTGAATTACGTATCTAAGCCCTCATACAACACGCTGAAAAATTAATCTGCTGTGTTCTCTCTTCCTGTCTGAATGCAAGCAGAGAAAATATTTTGTGTACACTGTGAAATCTGAGGCAGGTGTCAACACAGCAGAGAATATTTGTTCTCTTCATGGATTTAAACAGACTCGTTCTGGGTTGTTTTTTTCAACTACGATCATAAAGGCAGTGGAACATCTTAAGGTAATGCATTCAGTTCCTCTGCAGGCTCCTGCCTGTTCTCTATTCTGCTCCTGTATGATGCTTATCTCACTAGCTCTGGAGTTTATTGCCCGAAGGAAGGTGGTAAACACCAAAAAGGCTGAGTAATGTTGTGATTAATTACTGAGTGTATATCTTGTCCCAGAGGTATGACTGGATTGTGTACATAGGAAATTTTGTTTAAGAGAAACATGTTTCAGTTAATTGGCTGTGAATTCATAGCCCATTTTAAACAATACTCTCAAAATGGGTATTTTAAACCCATGTTCAAAGTGATTTTATGCCGTCCTTTAAAAGCTCATGTTTGTGCCTTTCAAAAAGCTGAAATGAAAATCTTTGTAATAATGTTTCTGTTCTGTTTCAAAAGTTAAAAAAATTGTTTTCTCTTGAAAGTACAGAAGACTTTGGTTTTGGGCAACTGACAGCTAATCTTCTCTCATACAGACACACACCTCGTTGTCATTTCTTTCCATTTTACCTTAAATGTCCCTAAAATGACTGTGTGAGAAAACTGTAAATTTAGTCAATGGTAGACTTTCCTGGAAGCCTTTTTAATTAGATGTGATAAATATATTTGAAGTACAACATCTTGACTGTAAAAAAAAAAAAAAAGAAAAAAAGAAATCTGCTATGCTTCTCTTGAAAAAGTAATCTTTTTATGTCCTTAAGCAAATCACAAGCAGCTCTAGTGAAGTCGATGATACACCAGTGTTAAAACAATATTGAGGATGCAGTAATGGTCGCTGCTTCTCCTTACCAGCTAGTTTGCTCACGCAAGTTTTTATATAATGGTGCCTTTTCACATTTCATGGGAGCAGCTGCCCGGGATGACTAATCAAACAACTGACAGAAAAAAAAGCAGAGATTATCACTGCTAAAAATGTTGTCCCTAATAACTCCACAATCTGAAGCACCATTTTCTGTAAAACAGCTAAGTTGCCCAGAAAACGTCTCCCTGACCTTAGAAAGGATTGCAGTTTAGTTGGTTATTCAGCCTGTGGCCCAGGCAGTGCCTAAAGCCGCTGATGTCAGCAGCCATCCTTCTCGACTTCTCGGCAGTGGTATAGTTACTCTGGATTTCCACAGTCACGCTTTCTGCTGCAACCAAGAAAAGGATTTGGGCTCATAGATTTCCAAGGCAGTGGAGTCAATTATTCACGTACCTATTTGGGGCATCTGGGTTACAAACAGAACGGGGAATTGGGAACGATCATACTTGTTTGGAAGAAAATCTTGGTGATCTCAATGCACTCCAGATGCTGGAGGCAAGATTCTTTGTGTCCCCAATTCTGAAGGTTCTGGCACGTGAAATCACATGTCCTTTCCTTCTCCTTTAGCCTGCCTTGTGGGAAGGCTGCTCCTCTTCTAGTGTGATGGTGAGGAAAGTATTTGCCTGTAGAGGAAGCAGTTGGCAAAGCTGGTGCTGAGTTGAGGATTTTTAAAGGCTGCCAGATGTTTGGCAGAGAGTGAGAAACCCACCTACAGGTTTCCTTTATACAACTTCTATAGAAGGATCTTCTTCCCTGGGAGGTGGAGGTTGTGTGTGAAAAAGCAGGCAGTAAATGAGAAGAAACATGCCTCCATCTGCTTCCTTTCTTCTTGGGGCAGGACAAATACATACTAGAATTTGCATAAATATGTGTCTTTCAAATGTCTTCGGGTGGACTCATTCATAATTTCCAGGTCAATATTCCTCCCACCCTCCATCTCCTGGCATCATTGCATCACATTGCTGTACATGCCTAGTACACCTGGAGATCAGAACTGTCAGATGACTTGTACTTGAAGATGTGTTACAAAATATCCCACTTAATCTCCACAGTGGTCTTAGTTTCCTGACTGGGGGGCAGTTTCAGGACATGACTTCCTTTCCAGTACCTGTCTTCCCTCCCCCAGCCCCTTCTCACTTTCCCCCACTAG